CCCCCCCGCGGCCCAGGTGCGGGGAGCGCCCGGCCCCTCCCGCCGCCTCGGGTTCCGGCCGGGCCGCGGCGGCCTCCCCGTCCCCGTCCCCGTCCCCACGGGCCGCCCCGGCCCGCGTCCGCACTTGGCTGCGCGGGGCGCTGCGGGCCTGGTGCTGCCCGCCCAGCGCAGCGGCCATTAGAGCCGCCGGGCCCCAGCGCGCCCCGGGGTCGGGCGGCTCCCCGCGATCCTTGCCTGGAGCGGGGCCGCTGCTCCGGGACCGGCTCGGGCTCGGGCTCGGGCTCGCTCGCCCCAGCCGTGCGCTGGGCCCCAGGCCCTGGCGCTCCCGTGCAGGCGGCTCGGCTGGCGGCAAGGCGCTCAGCCCGCACGAGTCCCGGCCTGGGGAGGGGGTCACCAGCCAGGGAGGCGCGGAGGGTGGGGTTCAGCCCGCCCGGCGGATGGCCAAGGTGGTGCTCGCTCGCCTCTTGGTACAATGACTCTGGCAGCAGCGTGCCCCCTTTTCGGAGGTGTGATTGTGCTCCCAAGGGCTGCCGGTACCTCTGCAGGGAGAGATGGGATATTCTCCAGGACGGGGTGTATGTCCAGCCTCCCTCCTCTAAGCATTTAGACCAGGGGTGTCAAACTCCCTTGGAGGAAAGGGCTGAATTCTAGGGGTCATTATAATTTATGGGCCGGGGGCAAATTCAGGAGCATATTGCCCCTTCAGGGCACAGGGGACTGGCAGCAGGAGCCAGGTCGGCACAGAGATCAGGGGGAGAATATCGCCTTTGAATTAAACCTGAAGCTAGTTATACCTTCAGTGCCTATTGTCACAGTCATCACTCCGTGAAAAATCTTTGCCCAAGGCTGTCTCTGCCCTTTGTTTCTCTTCCTTCCCCAGCTGCCTGTCTCTGTTTCTCTCTCTCCCTCTTCCCAGTGTGTGTGTGTCTGTTCTTTTCTCTGCATTTCCTTCCCTGCAGCTACTCCAAATTCCCATCCCCCTCTGCCATTCAAACCATCAGTGATTAAATACTTAATGTTGACACAGAAGTGTCATCACTGGCCTTTAAAACTGATAGTCCAGTGGACTTGGCTTTTGTGCTGAGTCACGGTTGCAGGCTCTGTGCACACTCAGGCAGACCTCACTGGTTGTGGCCCTGCAGCCAGGAAGGCTAGGGACTTGCTCTTTTGTAAATTTAAAGCTGAGATTTTAGCGAATCTGAACATGCCACATATGAGTCTCAGAAATACATAATGTGAGCAGGATCTGGCCAGCAGGCCGGATGTTTGGTGGTCCTGATTTAAACCCTGGAAGTTCATGTGTCTCCATCCTTCCTAGAGCTTATGCCTAGTTGGACCCTTGGCTTCTGCTAGGGGTAGAGCAGGCTGGAGTTCGGTGTAGGGGCTGGGGAATTGGGAGCTTGCCCCACCATTCCTGGGCCTCATTGCCAGCTCTGTGTGGTTTCCGTATGGCACCAAGGCCTTCAGCCCCTTTGCTGCCAGGGGATCTCTGTTCATGCTCCCCTCTCACAGGCTCCATAACTCACAGGCCTCTCCTTTGTTCTCCCCACTCCTGGCTCTGGCATGTCAGCCAGTTCCTTACTGCCAGGTCCCTGTCTCTGCTGGGGGGAGAGGAGGACTGCTGTCACTACACCCTGGGCCATGGACTCTATAGGCCCCAGTGGTGCACCCCTTCTCTTAAAGGAGCATCAGCTGGAACGTGCTGAACAGCGGAGGAATGGAGAAGTGTCCTGCTGCCCCCCACCAAAGCGGATGGCTTTTTCTCTCTCTCGGGAGCAGGGGAAACCACCTCACTGGTTCTATTCACATGGCTTCTGCCTCGCACTGCTTAAAGCAGGAGGTAAGCAGGGGGTCGGATGACTTGGCAGAAGGCATGTGCTGCAGTCCGCGAGGGCTTTTCCTCAAGAGTCCCCAACTTGGGAGTCAGCCACGGCCCACAACTCTAGAGGTGAGGCCCAACCTTCCCATGGACACTGGGAGAAGACCATGTATTGTCCCTCTCCTGTACATGCAGAGGTTAACCCTTTGTTCACCAGGTAGTGCCTCTGTCACACACATTACTACTTCTGCTAACATCCACATCTCTGTCGTGGTTTGCATGGAGAGACAAGGTGAGGGAGGTAGTATATTGGACCAGCTTCTGTTGGTGAGAGAGACGTGCTTTCGAGCTTATCGGAGCTCTTCTTCACATGGGACCATACTCCCAGTGTCACAGCAAAACGCAAGGTGGAACAGGTTATTTAGCATGAGTAGTTAGTTAGCACATATGTAAGGGACCATTCAAGGTAGTGGCCCATTAACAGCTCTGCAGTCATAAGACAAAAAGAGGGGGTTATTTGGTTACAGATTGTTGTAAGAAGCCATAAATCCAGTGTCTCTGTTCAGTCCATGAGTTTTAGGGTCTAGCAAAATTCTCAATTTAAGCTCCCAGGCTTGTCTTTTGAAGGTATTGTGCAGGTTTCCTTAGAGGACAAGGACTGAGAGGTCAGACATGGAGTGATCACTTTGTGAAATGTGTTCACCCACAGGTGATGGGATGTTTGTCATTTATCATTTTCCTGTATGAGTTCATTAAAGCGTGTAGTGATTGTCTGCACCCACATAGTTATTGGAGCATTTAGTGCACTGGATGAGGTACACCACTCTACCCTGAATGGTTTCTTACAATATGTGCTAACAACTTACGTTAAACAATCTGTTCCACCTTGCATTTAGCTGTGACCCTGGGAGCACCTTTTCCAGACCTGAAGAAGAGCTCTGTGTGGCTCAAAAGCTTGTCCCTCTCACCAACAGAAGTTGGCCCAATAAAACATACTACCTCACCCACCTTATCTCTCTAGTATCCTGGGACTGACATGGCTACAACATGTATACGACAATGGATTGCATAGTCCCACAACTACTCACCACAGTTTCTCTCATCTTCTTACTCTCTTTGAGGATTCTGGCTCCAGCATTGACCCTGGTTGTCAGAACGTAGCACTCTGATCTGCTTACAGTCCATCTTCTCCTCCTCTTGTGACCGCTCCAGCTTTACTGTTCTCAGCACTGATTCTACACGTACAGCGCTGTAGCGCTTAGTGAAGACGCTACCTGTGCTGATGAGAGAGCTGCTTTCCTCGCATAGGTACTCCAGCTCCCTGGGGGGTGGTAGCTATGGCGATGAGAGAAGCCCTCCTGACATCCCGCTGTTTACATTGGGGGTTAGGTCAGTCTCACTAGGTTGCTGAGGGGCGTATGCTGACATAAGTTGGTAGGGTAGACCGGGGCGCAGACTCAAAGGACACACGCCAGTCCTGCTACCACTTCGTTTTCTGCTATGCTTGAGCTTGGAGCTGACTTTTCTCTTGGCTTTTTGGGGGGATCTGTCACATGCATTTCTGAAAACTTATTCCCATGATAAAGCTAAAAATTGTATTTGTAAACACCCCAAAAGGCACTCAGGGCTCTGTACAAAACCAGTGCACTGGTGGAGAATCGTGGTTTTGCTCTTTCCTTCTGTAATACTTTTGTTGAAGAAATAAAGACAACAAAAACCAAAAAATCTAAGTTTCTAACAAAGCACTCCCAGCTCCATTCACTACAGCCACTAAAAGCCCCCAACTAAATATATTCGCATCGGATGATTTCTCAGCTTGTTTTTAACCTGCTGCCTGTTTATTAAGCACTGACATAGCTCGGCTGTGTGCTCCAACAGAGCAGAGATGCGGACCAACCAGGGCCGGCTCCAGGCACCAGGCACCCAAGCTGGTGCTTGGGGCGGCACCTGGAGGGGGGCGGCGCGGCGCTCCGGCCGCCGGGGAGAGCGGGGCCACAGCCGGGGCTCGCCGCCCTGCCCCCGGCGCTCTGGCCGCCGGGGGGAGAGCCGAGCCCCCGCTGGGGGAGAGCCGAGCCCCCACTGGGGCTCGCCGCCCTCCTCCCAGGGCTCCGGCCGCCCTCCCAGGGCTCCGGCGCCCTCCCCCGGACCGCCGGGAGGAGAGCAGAGCCCCCGCCGGGGCTCCGGCCGCGCCCCCCCGCCTCCGGGGGGGCGGCTGGAGGCTTTTTTGTCTCGGGCGGCAAAAAAGCCAGAGCCGGCCCTGGGACCAACATTTCCAACTAAGCTGCCTATGTCCAGCTTTAGCCAGCTAAAGGAAGTGATGTTGAGAGGTGCAGGGCACCCCCAGCTCCTGATGGCAGCATGTGCTCAGCTTGTCTGCTTTTATTTAGGTGCCTCCATTGAAGCATTTCAGGCCTGCTCACCACCCAAGGCCCCGGTCCTGCAAACACACTCACCCCCAGGTGCTGCTTGCAGTCAATGGGGTTACTCACCTGTTGAAAGTGGAGCACGTCCATATGTGTTCGCAGGACAGGGCCCATGGTGTAATGTTTAGCAGGGCAGACTAGAGTCTCTGGGCTTTAGAAATGCATTTCCTTCATTCCCTTTGTAGTTCTCACTGTAAGAACTTAAGAACAGCCATAGTGGGTCAGACCAATGCTCCGTCTAGCCCAGG